TCTAGAACTTGCCCATTGTTTAGTCTCTGCCCCTGCCTAAACTGGCACTGAGATATTCACCATCTGAGATGTCAAACAGAATAAGCTCCAAGAAACTAGTTATCCACTAGTATTCATCCAATAAAAAAGATGAGAGACTCTGAACATGTTGATTCTTTATAATTAAAAAAATGATGAGATGACTAGTTTCTTTTATTTTTATTTTTTCCAAAGACTTAGCAGATGAAAGAAAAGATAAGGCTCATTTCAATTAAGTCACACTGACTCAGGAATTTTCAATTGAACAAGTCACTTTGGATCACTCCTAAAGCCACAATTAATTATTTCCAAGAAATGCTACTGGCATAAATAGAACTACCCTAAATTGCATATTCTGATTATGGTGCCCCAAGATATATAGATGCTTTAATATCACTCTGCAGTTTAATATTGGACAGAATGTTTTTTCTTTCTTTCTATGTGTTGGAAGCTTAAAAGAATTACAGTTGGTATTGCAAGTCTGAAAGAAAAGAAGAAGCTTAATATTGTTAAATAGTGGTGCAATAGAATGTCAAATTAAATATTGCTCAATAAATCTGCAATGATATATTATGGAGAAATTTTGCCAGAAAAATCAATCTTCTTGGAGGAGCAGAAACTGGTGTTTAAAATCACATTCAGATGGACATTACCTTTCATTTTATCCCTTTCCTATTATATAAAACATGTTTGCATGATAAGTGTGTATTTCATACCTGTTCTTCATCTTTGTTTCATGGCATACTTCTATGGCATGGGCAAAGAAGGTCAAATTAATCAAGACAAAAGTAACTAATGTCTAGATTATAGTAACTAAATTTAAATTTTCATTTATCAATAAATATAGTCTTAGTTTCATTTTCTTTTTTAAAAAAGTAGATTCTTAATCAACATCAAATACTGTAGTTGTTTTCAATGACAAATGTATCATATGTTTGAAAAAGTAATTCTAAATAGTTTATATTCAGAAGGGAAGAATTATGAAGAACAGAGCTGAATAAGTAATAAACAGTCTCTCAGTAGAATCACATCATCAGTGTTTAAATTGTCAAGAATAAAAATGATAACATATAATTTAATGATATATTAAGAAATCCACACATGAGAATAAGCTCTGATAAGACACCATGAAATTGAGGAAATACAGGAATGTACAGTAAATTGTATAAAGTGACTTATAACCTGTAATATAATGATTTAGTAGCTAACTATACTGTATTTTAAGAAAATATTTTCCTCCTATAAAAATGCATAGTTTAAAAGGCTAATGCAGAATAAATACAACTTTGTTGTGCAAAAATATATACTGGAATGTTAACTCGATACAATAATGCTTGATAAATTTGCCTAGTAGTTATTCAAATAAAATAGATATAGATATAGATGGTTCAATGCTATGCATATGGCTTTTTCCTATACTGAGAAACACTCTGGATACGCTAGTGTGCGTGTGCGTGTACATATATCTATATCTACAATTTTAATTTTAATTAAAATATTTTAATTTAGTTTAACCTAATTTTTGTTTTAGTCTTAGATTAGTGACACAATTAGATTGGCTCCTTTATATCTCTTAGATTAGTGTGGCAGCCAATCATTTGTGTTGTGCATAATTAATTAAGCTTTCTACATTAATGATAATGCTGAAAGTGTGCTAGATCCCTTCATCTTTTGACTTTCCATTGTCTTTCCATTCTCATTCTCTCTTTCTCTCTCTCTTTCTCTCATTCTCTTTCTTTCATGTGTTACATGACTAAGGAATTAAATCATCATCTTTTCATCCCTGTGGACATACTTTCACTCAATAAAGTCTGTATGTTTATGTTTAGGAAGTAAAGTGCTTACAACTTCTTTCTCTCTCTCTCTCCTGTAGTTACACAGTAAGGATTTTTGAATGTATGTCATCTAAGGTAAGCTTTCATATGGTCTCTGCATATGAAGCTTATTTCTATTGTCATGTCATACAAATCCTACCAAAGTATGGCATAATTTTCATTATGTCATTTAATGAAAATGGGGTAATAAAACCAATGTAGCAATGGACTGATTATTTGTATTGTGTTCTTAATTAACAACTCTCGCTGAATCTGCTGAATAAATGCTTGTGCTAGCAGTTCCGGCTATGATGCCAACACTTACTAACAAGCTATAGAGGGAGTATTAAAGCATGAACCAGGTTAACCGTTTACTATACATAAATAAGCATAAATCACAGCATTTGATCCGTCTAATGCCAGTTATTTGCGTCAAGGTTCAGGCAGCTAAGAAGTAGTACTATTTAATTATACCCAACTCTTACCTCCTTTTCTTGAAAATGTACATTGCAGCAACTTTAAGGAACTAGTTTAAAGCATGCCAGATTTTGTGTGTCACAGCACAAAAAGGTAAAAGAAAGAAAGGAAAGAAAAAGGAAGGAACAAAGAAAGAATGAAAAAGATATTTGACAACAGATTTAATTGCTCTAAGTTAAATCAAGTAGTTTCATTTCAGCTGAGTTGTGCACAGAATTGTTATTTGCATTTTTATTTGCTTGAATGTGCAATATATGTATCTCTGTGACAGTAAATCACAAAATATAATCCACGGAGCTTTGAAAAGAATCTTGCATTTGATATTAATGGTGCAAACATTCAAAGGTAAGTTATTTATAAAAGGGCATGGTTTTTTCCCCTCTCTCTATCTCTAGCCAAGGCTGTCTTAAAGCAAAGCATTTCAGTGTTTGTTTGCTTTTTAACTATTGTTACTTCATTGAATCTCAGCAAGCTAAGGTAATTCTTCTTGGAATTTAGACGATTAATATGGCCTAGATCCTTGTATGGAATTCTCATGATACCAACATCGCTAAACAATCCAAGAAAATGAACATGAAGTTACTATATTTCACTGGGTTGGCACCTTATGCATATTCTTGCATTATTGGTCTGGTAGATTTTATTAACTCCCACTGAAACATAATATCAACCATTCCCACCTAGATAGGATGGTTTCAATAGCTGACAAATGTGTCGTGTGGTGAAAGTATTGATAGGGAGGTCATTGAATGCAGTAATATGATACTCAGGGGATAGTGATCATCAGTTCCAAAATGGCTGGCACAGATGGGCAATCAAAATCCCATCCCCCTTTTTATGTGTGTATGGTGCATGTGAGGCATGTTATAAAGGACTGAGGCTTTGACTGCCCAGTTGCACCCACCATTTTGGTGGTGTTGACCCTCCCCTAGTTATATAGCTCAATATAACACTGTAACTGGGAATTGTAAAGAAGAAACGTGGAAGCAAAAACAGTCACATGGTTAACATGTAATGCAGGCTTAATATCATTATTGTTTGCAGAAGAAAGTTGTTGGGTTGCCCTTGGTATTTCCCTTTTGAATATTCTTGATGGTACTACAGATATTATTTTGGATGACTTTCACTATGTGAACCTCCCTCCCCCCAGCATCCTGCTGAGTCTCCTTTCTTCTCCTTCTCCCACTCCCTTATTCCAATAATTAGAATATGGCTAAGCAACTTCACTTCAAAGCTTTTTCACTATGTTTGGTTTGGAGAATTTATGAAGACTCACACTATGAGTCTTTGATGAGTACCTGACAACTTTGCAGCCACAAGAAAAATAACTTGACATTATTGGCAGCAACTTCATGCTGATCCATCAAGTCCCCATCCAATGAACAGTGAAAATGGTCAATGGAACATAGAATTCCTGACCAATCATTCTTGGAAGAATTTATTTCACTCACATGCAGAGGAAAAAAAGTAGCAATTGTAGAGCAATCCTAAACCTATTTACACTAAAGGAAGCTCTGCTAAAATGATGGTATATTTCTCCTTTTGTAATTGCACAAGTGTGTGCAGGTATAAAGAGCAAACCTATCCTTTTGGTTGTTTTCATAATTTTCTTGTCCTCAGGTGGTCTCTCGTTCTTCCGACTACTACTACAAGGGGTACCTCCACATATTGCCCAGTCCTATATGAAAGAAATGGACGCCAGCAAGTATGGAAAAAAATAAATTCTGGCCCCAGTGCTTCTCTGCTTTTGCACCAAAAACTGCTAGCCACTCTGCAGCCTCTCATTTCTACCGTGATCTTCCTAAATCATATATATCGCACCTTCTGTTTTCCTCCTGGTCCTGGTGGAAAGAAAAACACACGCATGGATTGCCTTTCTTTTCTTTCTTTCTTTCTTTCTTTCTTTCTTTCTTTCTTTCTTTTTTTTTTTTTTTTGAAGTTTAGTGAAATAAGCTGATGCTTACCTGCATTTTGTACTGTTGTGTATTTCTGTTTCCTTCTCTTTCCCCTCTCTTTTTTTAATGCAAAACAGAAGACAAGCTAAACAAATATGCATGAAAGTTCATTTTTAGTTTCTAATTTATATGTTTTAATTTTTGTGAAAAGCAGATGCTGCCACACCCAATAACAATGGAATCGGAACATACATCACCTCTTTTGATAAGCAAATAACATGCCTCCTGTGTACACATGATTTACAGCATTTAACCATTAATTGAGCTGAATGCATCTCAAGTTAAAAGGGTTTCCCCCCACTGTTGTTTATTTGTGAATCCAATTTATTTGAGCTACTACAGGGGATATTTTTGGTGATGTATAATAAAGCTGAAGTGTTTATGACCTAGTCACATATTTGGGATTCTTATGCTTATTTTATGTTAAGCTGTCATTGTTATTTTGTTTCCATAGTGTCTTGGCTTTTTGTCTGCAATTACAAACACTGGATTGTGGGCTGGGATGCAGATATACTTGCATATATATTCCTATCCATTACATTATTCCACTTGGGGGTAAGCACTGTTGTATAAAACCATTGAAGAAAGAAAAATTAAAAGCATCGTATCAGAAAAAGAAATATCATATAAGCAAGCATAGTTTGCACCAATGCCATACATTATGCCTCTCCATACCTTTTTGTCCTGCAAATCTTCTGGGCTTTCATCTTCACCATTTATCACATGGGTGTCAAACTTGTGGCATCACATTGTTATCATGTGACATTTCGTGATAGTTTTTTTCCTTCGTGGAACTGGGGTAGGCATGGCCTGCATGTAACATATCCAGCCTGCAAGCTGCCAGTTTGACATCCCTGATTTATCACTTCACACATCTTGCAATCTTTATCCAAACACAACTTTCTCAATCTTCTCTCAATACATTTAGTCTTTCCTCATACACTTGTTTGGTGAGTCAGTTGTCACATTCTCTGTGAATACACTTCCTCATCTTCCTGACCACAAATTTTTGTATCATTTATTCAGCACTAATTTTTTCTTGACCCTATCTTGTTCACTATACACACTTCTTAAAGATCCACTGCATTAAACTTTTGTGTTTTTATATCATGGCAAACTCATTTTCATATAAGGAAGTGTACAGATGCTCATGATGGGCAATTCCATTTCTTTACACAAACCTGCTAATAATAACTGACAGTACTGGTCAGTTTAGGCATATTTTGGTCGAAACCCAGTTTTATCCCAAGCATATTCACATTATTCTATGCAAGGCAGGGTCTCTTAATATGGGGACTACTTTCCAAGCTAGCATATTATTTACTATATCCCACAAACTAGTATGTATATGCCATGTCTATATTACAATGCTAGGCAAGATACAAAATTTCAGAATGTATTGGAACAGTTTGGAATAGAGTACTACATAGCTATATGGGGTCTGAAGCTGTGATGATCCGTAGTCTCTCAAAATAACCCAAAACCCAAAACATACATTAAAGTCCGGTAATGCCTTCAACTTAACTTCACTGTTTTATTAGGCACAGTTTAAAGTCACAAAAGTAAATATTAAGGCAAAAAGAAAACCAAAACAAACCATTGATGAGAGTTCCGAAGCAAGCCAGGATAATTAATCATACATTCCAGGAAGATAAGGGAGGAGAGTCCATGGGAAGAACGCCAGCAAAGATAAACCTCTTTCAAAGAAAACATTAAACTTTGACTCCAGCAATTCTGACTGTGCAGTTACAAACTTATATACATAGCTCCCGGCTGTAAGCCACGAGGAGGATCATGGTAATCTCCTCCTGTGTAGACCTCGCTTTTCCCTGATCCTCTCCTCCCTGCGTGACCTAGGATGGATAGGGGATGGGCCTGGATCCTCCTCTGATTGCTCAGCCGGCCTCTGCCCTTCTCCAGCCTCCTCCACCACCTCTGAAGCCACACTCCCACTCCCTGTTGGCTGTTCCTCCTCTTCCTCAGAGTCAGTCTGGTGGAGGCCTCAGACACAACCTGTCTCCCATTTGTTATACTTCTCTTGTGTCAGTCCCCAGGAAAATCAAGACTACTTCATAGATTCATCAGGGAGGTCACACTTAAATGACCCACATAGGAGAAAGGATTTAGGAGCAACTACTCCTAATGAGACTTGATGAGACTATGCTTATTCACCTAACAAGACTATTCAGATTAGATGTGAAATGAAACTAGCCTGGAAACCAAATATGGGGTTTCCCCTAACCAACTTGCTCAGACTGAAGCAGCTATTTGGATAAGCAGTAGAACATTTCAAACTAAAAAGATAAGTCCACTTGCCATGACAATTTCCAGACAACTCTACCTAGATGACTGCAAATCTTCATCAACAAATTAATATAGTATATGTTAGACATGTATTGATAATTTCTAACGCAGCAACATATACCTATTTATAGAGTTACCAATAATTACTTCTTCTGAAGCATTTGATATAGAGTTACCACCTATTCACATAATTCCAAGCATGTTTTATACAAAAATGCCAGTGGAATTAAACTGAGTGGTATTACTTGATTTCAAGGTTTAATATTGTATGCATAGTACTTGTTTTAATGTATTAATAACTACATCTGGGATTTAAAATAATGTAGGAGTGCCTGAAATTACAACCCTTTAGGTCAATGGATGCAAAACCAACTTTAATTCTTCACTTTATGAACAGTTACTGCAATTGAAATACAGCTCGTACAGTACCTCCCAAACTTGAATGCAGTATTTTGAAGGAAATTAGGCTGATCGACTTCCTTATTTCTGTCAAACAGGCCAAGGTAGAAGAATGATGGGCAAACTTCACATGCAAGGCTACTAGACCTAAGCAGATCAAAATTTATTTGAGTTTTTTTATTATGGCTACCATGTAATGGTTGCATGAATTTTTGCTGCCCGGATCTGATAACCTTAGTTTGTATAGCTGATTTAGACTTCAGAGAATGTTCTCCAAGTATCCTCTGAAATATGTTTTGCATCTCAAAGACTAAATCCCTCACAATCTGTATGCATTGTTCAAAGGAATAAAAATCCCTCATCTTCAGGAAAAGCTGATACTTGGGAGTCCTTTTCTGCAAAAAAAAAATACATCCAAAACCACAGACACACTAGAACAGGAGTCGCCAGCCTTTTGGACCTCAGGGACCACCAAACTCATAATTTTAAATCCCACGGACCAGAGACCCTGGGAAAATCCCCAAAAAAGTCTGCAGGAAAATTCCCCACCCCATTTTTCTACTGTTCAATTATTTTTTATTTGGGATTGCAGGATACCACCTCCAGCTCCATTCTCAGGGGGAGAGAGACTTTTGGCTTCATGCAAGGAAAGCAGCAGAAGTCTTTCTCTCTCTCCCCCAAATCCCACCAGAAATGAGTCTTTGTGAGTCTTATCACACTGGTGCAGCCTCTTGGAGCAGGATGCCTTGCAGAGTCCCAATGACTTATTTCTTGTGGAGTTTGGGGGAGAGAAAGAAAGACTTTTGTTGCTTTCCTTGCGTGCAGCCAAAAGCAGAAGAAGAAATGGAAAAAAGCAGCCCGGTATCAAGGTGAGGTACGTGGGGCAAGTGGGGCAAGTCTCCCCCCTCCCCCTTTCCCCCTCCGCTCACTACTGTGTTTCTCCAACAATACGGCCTCCACCAATAGGAAGGCCCAGCATGATTTCTAGGCATGAGGTGAAATTAAGCCCCGCCCCCAAAATTTAGGCCTATTTAAACCATGCGTTTCCCTGCCATTTCTCACATTGTTTGATAGAACTACACGAGGTGAAGAGAAATGGGGGGGAAGGGCGGGGGGGAGAAAACTTGCTTTTAGGAGTGCCCTGCAGGTAGCCTAGGCTAGAATACCCTGATAGCCGATAGAAGATCCCTGAAGGCAGAGTCCCCAGCTGCTTCAGGGCGTGGTGTGGCTACCCGTGTCCCCTCGCCTTTAGGGCAGTCTCTTTCCGGCGATGAAAGCTCCCCAATTGCAGTCACCAGCCACTTCGATTGGCCAGTAGAAGTGGCCTCGAGGCGAGCGCACACACACACACACACACCCCTCGCCCCGAGGCCGCTTCTACCGGCCGATCGAAGTGGCTGGTGACTGCATTTGGGGAGCTTCCATCGCCCAAAAGAGACTGCCCTAAAGGCGAGGGGACATGGGCAGCCACGCCTCGCCCTGAAGCGGCTGAGGATTCTGCCTTCAAGGGAGCTTTCATCTGCCAATAGAAGCGGCCTCGCAGTGAGGGGAGTGTGTGTGTGTGCTCGCCCCGAGGCCGCTTCTACCAGCCGATTGAAGTGGCTGGTAACTGCACTTGGGGAGCTTCCATCACCCAAAAAAGACTGCCTAAAGGCGAGGGGACACAGGTAGCCACACCACGCCCTGAAGTGGCTGAGGATTCTGCCTTCAAGGGAGCTTTCATCTGCCAATAGAAGTGGCCTCGCGGTGAGGGGAGTGTGTGTGTGCGCTCGCCCCGAGGCCGCTTCTACCAGCCGATCGAAGTGGCTGGTGACTACATTTGGGGAGCTTCCATCGCCCAAAAGAGGCTGCCCTAAAGGCGAGGGGACATGGGCAGCCACGCCACGCCACGCCCTGAAGCAGCTGGGGACTCTGCCTTCGGGGAGCTTTCGTCAGCTGATAGAAGCGGCCTCGCGGTGAGATACGTGTGTATGGGCTGCTCTAGGTGGGGGAGGAAATTAAGTCACCCCCAAAAAGACAACCTAGCTGTTTTTTCAGGGGTCAAAAAAAAATAAGGCCTGGCCTTATTTTGTGAGAAACACGGTACCTCGTGTTGTTCACAATGCAAGCAATGCAAGCCTTGTGTTCCT